AGAAAGTGTTCTGCACCTCCAAGAAGCACCGGGAAGAGAACAAACAGGTTAGAGGTGGCGGGGACACAGCAGTGCAAAAATCTACGCTGCTCATGTCAACTGCATTTTCAGTGCTGACTGTGTGGCAGCTCCCGTGACCAGGCCTGATCCACCAACAGCCGTGCGGTGAGAGTCCACGCTGCTGTCCACCATCAGGGAACTGAGTTGCTTTCCATTGGGGGATCTCTGACATGTCTCACTTTTACAAGGTAAAAACATTCTGGGAATGGCTCAGGCTTTCCGCTTATTGAAATCTATGTTTCTCTTTCTAGACTCTTCTCCTGCACGCACCACGTGAGGAGGCACGGTCCCGTGTCCAGGGACAGCCCTGAAGCTCTGCAGCCCTTCCACACAGATGGCAGCTGCTTCCATCCTGGCTACACATCCCTGCACCTCTGCCTGGATCCGCAGAGAACCAAGAGCAACTTCCAGACTGGTGTAAGTGACACCTCTGGGCACTCACTCACTCGCTCAGTGAGCCGCAAACCACTCTTGCCCCATCTCCACGGCTCCTGAACGTGCGTGCCACCAACCCGCCGGGGCCGTGCCGGCACCAAGCACAGCAGCACAGGCCATTCCTGCAACAGCCCCGTGCACTCCCCATGTCCCATTCCCAATCCCCACTCCCCATATCCCACTCTCCAAATCTCATTTCCCCCATAACCCCACTCTCCCATATCCTACTCCCAAACCCCACTCTCCAGAACACACTCCCCCATATCCCACTCCTCAAATCTCACTCCCCATATCCCATTCCCACTCCCCATATCCCATTCCAAATCTCCACTCCCCATATCCCATTCTGACTCCCTATATCCTATTCCAAATCCACTCTCCCCATATCCCATCCCCACTCCCTGTATCGCATCCCCACTCCCAATACCCCGTTCTCAGTCCCCACTCCCCATATCCCATTCCCAATCCCAACTCCCCATATCCCATCCCCACTCTCTACATCCTGTTCTCAATCCCCACTCCCCCATATCCCATTCCCACTCCCTGTATCCTACTCCCAATCCACTCTCCCCATATCCCATCCCCACTCCCCATATCCCATTCCCAATCCCCACTCCCCATATCCCATTCTGACTCCCTGTCTCCTGTTCCCAGCACACTCTCCCCATATCCCATCCCCACTCCCCATGTCCCTATTCCTCCTCCCCATATCCCATCCCCAATCCCCATTCCCTATATCCCACCCCAGTCCGGCCCCGGTGGACGCTTCTGCCCATCACCGCCAGGCGGAGCACCACT